GTATATTAAGGAAAGTACTTACAGTTGAAATATACAGTCATACAGTCAATATAGATAAAATCTCGATTTGCTTGAACAGGGAACGCGAGGAATCAGTAGGTAATGATGACGTTTCTATTGTTTGCACCCGCAAGTACGAAATGGTTAGGATGACGTAAAGACAGAAAATCCCGAAGGGACCGCTCAGGTAGATTTTGTGACATTTATTGTGCAGTCATACTTCGATACATTCTGTGGAACAGTTGTTTTGAAAGTTGTGGACCAAAAGACACTCGTTAAGCGCAGATAAGGTTATAAGGTACGTTTAACTGTGTACACTTGGAGAGTTTACCAGACACGAGTTCACAAATCTTTGCCTGATTTATATTGGAAACCTTGCACGACACTCTTTCTCTCTCTTTGACCGGAGTCAGACTCAGCCCCAAACAAGCAAGACGAGTGAACAACGGCTAGCTTATCACTGGCAGAACGATGAACGATTACAGAAATTTGCCGACAATCAAATTCTGTGCTGACTTATTTGCTGCTCACAGATGTCCTTCCGTTATAAAGTTTCAAACAAGACTAGAATCGGGGGGGTTACTCCCATACATTACCTATAAGGGTATGTGCCGCCCAAAGGGATCGTGATTTTGAAGCTCCTGGTTTAGAACGGGGTATCCATTTCAGAGGCGTTTTCTAGAACGGGGTATAATATTTCGAACACACGAAATCTCCACTTTTGTAAGCAGCCATTTGAAAGTATTCAAGGACAGATTGCTTTTAAAAATACGGTTCAATGCGTTAACAAGCAAATCGTTGTACTGTTGTTGCACCCTAGAACGGAGTACAAAAAATTGGCCCATTTCTAGAACGGGGTATCAGTTTTAGGGCGAATTCTAGAACGGGTATCAATTTTAGGGGAAATTTTTTCTAGAACGGGGTGCCAATTTGGAGTCCCGGGCGGCACATACCCCCCCAAAAAAAACCCAAGTGCCCCCCCGGACTAGAATGCGCGAGCGTGAATCGACCAAACGTCCTTTTAATTTCTAAGGCTTACTTTCCGGCAAATAAAATAAACTGAATGTAAAAAGTGAAAGAGAAATAGCGAAGAATTCAACTTCTAGTTAAATCTTTTCTTATAGAATAAACAGCTGGATAAACTATTCTCGAAATTGAGGATGTTTTGATCAAAGCTTTGTAAATGGAGCTGAAAGTGTGCATGGAACCTTGCGTTTCCTGTATTTATCTCACCTATTGTATGGAATATGTGTGAAAATCTTCATTATGAATCGGTATATTTCAAAGAGCTACAGAACGAGCAAGAATACTATTGACCGACAATATACAGAACGGGGGCAGCTGTAGAGTCAACTATTACTAGTATATTATTAAGCTTACTTCCTGTAAGTCTCTCTCCAGCATATTTTGCGGAAGACAAGACAACAACAGGTTGAGCTGAAATTGGAAAGACGAGAAGTTAAATACTGCTTGAGTTAGTATAAAATAGATTTGTCTTATTTTATCTCTGTCTCTATCATTCAAGAACTGACTTGTAGGTAATGGATGCCACTGGTGGATGTGATCTTCAGTGGTAGAGCTCAGGTCTTTGAGGATGTACGTTCCTAGGGTAGCCTGTAACTCACTGCTATGAGTTCATGGCTGAGGCGGCTGTATTCCTGTGTATTTGCAGGTAACTCAGTTGTGAGGTCACGTCAACCGTGCTCAATGGCCACATCGACATATACCCAATTTAACAGCAAAAACGGGACATGTAGCTCATCTACATATAAAAGTACGTTGGCCTTACTACGGTAGCTTTGGTTTCAGCGCGGTTGTGACTTTTCACGCCTTGACATTTCAAAGAGGAATAGGTGAGGGTTTACTCGGGGGGGGGGTGTGGATGGGTATACTCGTCGGTAAATTATAATTAAACCCCTAAGGGAGACCATTGTGGGTGTGGCTCAAGCTTAAACTGGCCCCTACTTAGACCATACTAAACTCGATGACATCACGGCATTTTTTCTGTAAACTTCTTTATGCACAGCCCTAAGCGATACCTGAATGGGCAAATATAGTGACTTTCTGTCCCAAACACCCCAAGTGAGACCAAAATCTGCATTTTACACCGCTAAACGAGACGACGAGCATACCCGTCACTTACTATGTCATGTAGTATGTTATAATAGACTTGATTTGATGTAATCACCTTTGACTAAGCCTAACAGGAAACAGTACTAAGGCTAAGGAGTTGCACAGAAATTTAAACTATGACGGTATGCCTGCTGCAGTTAAATGCCTCTTTAAGTACCTACATAGATTTCATCGTAGTCTCAAACATGTAACACGTTTTTATCAATGTAATAGTGATCATGTACTCAGCTATACGGACAATGTTATAGGAAATTTTGTCCTGACTTATAACAACACAAACACTTAGTCAGACAGGAGGTTTGCTGAACTTGAGAGAATCTTTTATCTACGTTATTAGTTTATAAGTCCGGTGACACTTGTTTATACTCCTACCATCTTTCCCACATATCGCGAGCTCCGTTTTTAGTTTGTCAATCTCAATTTCAAGAATTTGCATCTTGAAATTCCATTTATTTTCCGCCTGGTTCAGTTTCATCAAAGTCACTTCATCCTCCTTTGGGCTGAGAGAAAGAAATGAATCTGAGTTCCTTCGATGTCTGCTACCTTCCTGGCTGATGTTATCAGCAGCTGTCGAAAAGGATAAGAAAGAACGAAACCGATAGTATACCTTACATGAAATATTTGACTACGGGAAAATGTTTTGTTTGAACTTAGGTTATCCTATTGTCCTCAAAGACCCTTTCTTCCAATCTTCTACGCAGCAGCTGATATATTTTGGGCAGGAGCTATTTTTGACCAACCAAGATAATGGCTGCGTAGGTGACTGAGCTCTATTTCACTTTAAGATTAAGTAAGATAGGACGTTCAAGCATATTTGTAAACAAAGTAGGATCGATAAGCCACTCACGCTTCTTTTAAGATATGCGACATCCTTAACAAATTTATACCAAAGCAGTTAAAAATATTTCCATTTCAATGGATCGATGAAAAAAATGACTAGTGCCTTATATTGTTATAGTCTCTGTAACTTCTATTATTTACCCTTTACATATTAAAACTAAAATAATAATAAAAAAACAGACAAATAAAACCACATATAAATTAATTCATGTAGAATGAAAAGAAAAACTGATATTAGAAACAATTGAACAGCAACATTTTCTTTTGACGCTCTAAAATTTGTACTTGGGGCAACAATCTTCAATTCTAGAAACTAACATTTCTCCTGGTAGATTCAAGTGCTATATTGCAAAGTCATAAGTCCCTGCACAACCCTGAGTTCATAAGATGCCTTCCCTGGATAGGTACTAGACTGGTTTTAGGCAACTGCCATATTTAAAACCATTATAACCTAAAGAAACAATTAATAAAGAGGCCCGCAACTCCAGTCCCAGTCCCCCAGTGCGTTCACTGGTCCACATACAAGAAAAGTTATTCTGACTAACCGTGATTTTGTTGGAACATGAGATCAAGATAAGCTGCGCTATATTCCTTTTCATCGATGTAAACGGTCACCTCCATTTCTTCTCCCTTTACCAGTTGTTTGATTTCTTCGGTTACAAGGAATCTTTGAAGACGATTCTTCAATTTTTCGTTGTTGTAAATGTTCCATAACGCTTTTAAAGCTGACGGTGTTTCGGCTAGCACTGTAAAGCAGAGAGAGCTTTCACTCAACTCAACAAGCTTGGTAAAAGCAGGCAAAACAACCTTGTTGAAGGCGTCACTGTATTCTTCAAAACTGGAGCAACTTCGCAGAACCAGGCCACTGCCAACCAATACAATACCACCAGCAAGTGTGCGGAAATTACACACCATCCTAACCGCTGTGAAAATATGAGGAGCCTCAGATAAACAATCTGCAACATTCTACGTTTCCTAATACAGGGAGAGGCTCGTTACAGCCTCGGGCGGTTACTGGGGGAGGGAGTTTATAATAATAAAGAATGAGGGTTAGTTGTATTTTTTTCAGGAGCTAGATACTTTGCATTGCGTTCATTTGATCAATATCACGCCCTTATATGGTACACAGATCTACAAAGTTAAAACACGGCGTACAGTAAATACCCGCTTAAACGAAACTGCGGATCAAGAACCTCCTGGTAAAAAATTGGCGAAGGGAGCACCTAATAGAAAACAACCAACAATTCCATTCAACCTGACAAATTATATGGAGTCAGACTGTGAATCAGGAGATGAGAACAACTTGCCTTATGCCTCATTTTCCAATACTAGCTTTAAATTTAACAATTCGACCTGTCAGAATCAGTCACTTATTGACGAAACCAAATAGACACGTTTCGTACTCCCGGGCGACCGAGGAGGAGTTGAGGAAGAGTAGTTGTTTTCGCGCGGAAGCGAGGCTATATAATGCGGGTCACTTCTTACCAACAAGACAAACAAGCACGAAAAAACTGCGGCTGAGTTGCAGGAAAACAATTGGAACCTTAACACTGAGAGAAGGGAGAGATTAAAACTTACTGACAGGCTTGAGAAATCATTGTTTCAAATAGCAAAAGGGAAATCAGCTCATTGTCACCGAAACAGACAACGAGCCTAATCAGAAATTGACCAAAATAAAGGTTGGTGAGTGTGGTCTCTGAAGCCATTTTAATGTTATTTTTAGTGCGGATCGTTAAAACGTCTTTAAGCCGTACCTTCCATTGGAGTAGACGTACTTATCGATAGCCTGTAGGATAAACTGAAACCTTCTTTCACTTGAGTTGACATTTTTCTAAAGATTCTATCGAAGCGGATGCAGAATCTTGTGTATTTGAAAACAACAAAAATCCGCATAGGTACTTTTCGTGGATAAATATCTGTTCCTTTAGGATAGGGCAAACATTATGCAAACATTCCTTGCACTGTAAAGAAGTTCAACCGGCTTGAATCAAAATGTCTAGTCACATGTGGAAAACAACGTACACACATTTTACTCGACAAGAAGTTGATCGAGGAATTTTATACAGACGAGGTACTGAGCAATTTAAAATCGATTTTAGAGATGTACACAAGAGTGAAATAGAATAAATTCAAGGGAATAGAATATTGTTATTTGAACAAACTTTAACAATTTCACGCTTCAAAAGTTTACTTCTTCGTTTCGCTTCGTCGCTGTTTTCATTTCTCTGTTAGTCTCTGTTTGTTGTTTGAAACAGTTATCCCTTTAGCTTATTGGTACAGTTTAAGCTTTGAAATCTTACTGTATACCTGCCAACTCTCACGCCTTAGGCGTGAGTCTCACGCCTGCGGGTTGAAAACTTCGATCTCACGCCGGCTCACGCCTGCGGGCCAATTTCTCACGCCTGATTGAAAAATGTGAGTTGTTGCCGTCCTGCTTGACACAATTTCCAAAAATATGTTAACTCAGACCCATGTAAGGAACGAAAACCATGTGTAAAATGAATAAATGGCAATACCTTCCTCGCGATCTCTGATTTTTGAAGTGAAAAGCACTGGGAGCGAGCTCGCCTTTGGCAGACTTCGGCAGACTTCGGACGTCTTCGGAAGACCTCGGACGTCTTCGGAAGACTTCGGACTTCTTCGGGGATCTTCGGAAATGATCGCGTCGTCTTCAAAAATCCCAGCACTCCCGGGATAAAAATCTCACGCTTATATCTCAGAAAAAGTTGGCAGGTATATTACTGATAGCCGAAATTTACCTTTGTTTGTTTGTGCTTTCGCCAAGAGAGGTTAACCAGCATTAGCCTCACAATCATGCTAAGAAGTCTCTCGTCCCACGCAGGGCCGTCGGGGAATACGAAACTTGCCTATTGTAAGTGCTACACATAGAATCAATTTTAAGAACCTCTACATGCTGATTTTGCACGTGACTATACATATCATCCTTCAAAAAAGCGTATTTTGTGACGTCACGGGTAAGTGCACGGTGTTGAGCTGTGTTGGTGATCAAAGCCGTAACTTTGTCATTGTGCATCGTGCTTGCACGATTTGTGCATATTGAAGCCAATAAAGGTGTATCGAGCCTAAATTCCATTGATGGTGCATAGATCGTGCCTTCATGGTGCCTTTATCGAGCCTTAACCTTGTTTCCATGAAGACTATTTCAAACAATCGTCGATATATCATCTGAGGAAAAATACTATACTGTTGAAATGAGAAAGAATAACTACAATAAACTGGTATATTTAAACTTGTAAGAAAGTCAGTTTTGTATTAACGAGGCATTTTCAACTTTACGAGTTGAATTTACGACTACGTAAAGGTATTTTCGTTCTTCTCTCTTTGCACCTAAAATAAATGATGATCGTGCTTAAACAGTCATGCTTCAAGGACAAAGGTACGAAATGAAAAAGAACGATAATCGTCGAGCCTGTATGCATGGTTGTGTACTATCGTGCATTGACAATTTGGTGCATGAAAAATTATGTTCTAACGCTAAAAAGTTGTTTTTCATTTAATAAGCATAAAAATGCATCGACAAATTTTAAGCCAGGAGAAACTTTGGTATATGTGCATCTCGAAAAGCTTTGTCTATTCTGGTCAATACAGGTTTATTGCAGAGTTAAGTGAGATCGAAGCTTTATATTTTTTAGTAAATAGTAGGGCAAAATAGCTTCTTAAAACTACACTACATTTCGTCAACAAAGAAATAATTCCTTTAAATCACAGCTTTATGAAGAAAATATATACTCTCTGTAATGCAGATTGATTACAGTGCAACCGTGCAGAAAATCAAGTTTTTATACACTAGTTTAGGGGAACTGTAACAGTAAATGTAGCGTTAAAACCATTTTTTCCAAAAGGGTGGTCACCAACATCGTGCGCATAGCCTCACGTAACCACCAACTAACGGATACTAATGTTGGAACTCACTTACCTCCTATCAAGGTTCCTGCAGCTCGCTTCAAGGAAGAAATGATACCAGCTGACTTAGCTGAAATTTAATAGAACGGACAGCGTGAAGATGGTCATATACACAATTTTGTACGAACTGTAGAGCCACTATTGAATGAAAGCCGCGTACCAACTTCGTTCAAACATGGTGACCACTCTGGAAGCCCAAATCGTAATTCCCATGTAATATATATAACATACCAGTTGATGCATATGCACGCCTATCGGCAGAATGCTCAATAGAAGGACTAGAGCGGAGTGCCGTACATGCCTTGCGGTACGAAACTAAGTAGTAATAAAAATGCCAAGTCAAATCTCAAGTTGACACAAGACAACGTTGATTAATATATATAATATATACATATTCCGATCCAGTTTATTCAGACCTCTCCGACGCAAAACTCACAAACGAGCAACGAATTTCAATATGTTCCGGCGCTCTGACTCTGGCGGGTTAGGAGCTGAAGTAAACTCAGACTAATTGAGCCAGCTCGTTTCAAAGAAAACGGTAACAATATACAAATAATCCATCTTTGCTAACGTTCAATCAAGTCAGTTTTAACTGGCTTGATCAAAAATTAAAATTTGAGGAAATAAAACCTCAACTACTGACTGTTTATGCAAGATTAACTTGACCAGATTTCCGCTTTAGGCTGCAAATGCAAATTTCGGTAATACATACCTTTTCGTTTGATTTCAAAGTTTTCTACCTTCTTAAGCAGCGGTCTTTTCTTCAATTGTATCAATATTTCTTTCAACTTCTCTAGATTATCAATTCCAAGACGTTTCTTGTCTTCAAGGACTTTGAAAAACGTGAGCATGTCTTGAATACCGACTGCTTCGCCCTCCGGTATCCACATTTTACACATATTAATCATTCGTCTAAGTAGGCTCTCATCTAATTTTTCGCTTATTTCAAAAATCAAATCATTATACTCAATTTCACACATGATTTAGACGCAAAACGTTTGTCCTGAGAGGGACAGAAAAGAAACGTAATTGCCCTAACTAAGTAATAACCTAACAGCGGAGCAAAGCATCAAGGATGAATATTGAATATTCATCCTTCATGCGTAGCGTTCGTTTTTTTCTCATCGAAACGCCTCGATAACCCCTATTTGGCCGTCACGCAAGCGCAAACACCTAGAAACCGACTAGTGGCAGCTTCATTTAAGCATCGGGGCCGCCAGGATTAGCCGTTCAAGACCCCATGAACACATTAATCTAGGCCTGCTGTACAAGAGAGAAAGTGGGGATCGTAAGCAGCTCACGTTTGTGAAGGCAACGGCAACGATTACATACAAAGTGGCCTGGATCGATAACGGTGTCCATCGTCCATCGCACAGAATTTGGCATTCCCCAGTGACATCCACAACAGGGGTCTGGGTTCTAGTCTTCCAGTCAACCATTGTAGCGGCGTTGCAGTTGTGTCCTCAAATGAATTCTCTTTAGCAGTGTTTTTTCCTCACTTAATTTACGCATTTTCAGCATTATACAAAACGTTTTTTTTTTTCGAATTTTGACTTTCCTCTTTTCTGGGAGTGAAGTGTTAAAAAGAGATCATCGCTTGTCTGTTTTTCGCAAATGACCAAGCCTAAAATAAATTTAATGGTTGAATCTTTTACTAGTAGAAAAAGTGACTACTGATGAGGAACTTACTGTTTCCTTTGTTTCTAGATTCACCTCGATTTCTCTTCATACCCCTGAGCCGTTGCATTATTTACGGAGCGGAAGTCACGGATTCTTCCCCCCTCACGACACATACCAGGCTACCTGGAGAGCGGCCAGGGAGGAGAGCGATAGTGACAGTGCAGGTGAGATAGACGATAGTGAAGCTTCCTGTGTTCAGCTTGATGAAATTACAAGAGATCAGGCAGGGCAAGACTGCAGAAACCTAGACGCCTGAAAGCCATCGACCAATCAAGTTACAACAAACGGTACTGAAATGAAAGTAACAGCGATGACGGCTGTGGTGAAGGTCAGGCAGATGTTGAAAAAGGACTGGAGCCCATTATCAATAACGAGGAAACTCGGCAAGCGTTGTCTCTCATTCTTGGCGGGCTGAGCAGTTATACGTGTGATGATCTGATGATCCGCTTACTGTGGGCGCAAGTGTGGGCAGCGAAGCAAGGAGGGACAGGGAGACTAAAGACTAAAAGACTAAAGACTAAAGACTAAAGTTTTGCTCGAAAAATGGGGAGACGAACACGTCCAGCTAGGATTGAAGTCCTGTCCTAGGAAAAAGTCAATATGGCAAGAAATTGGCGACTTTTTAATGGTCTGTGGATATCAAGACCGCGACGGAGAAGCTTCCAAATCCCGCCTCCACACCTTTGTAACGGCATACCGCCAATACAAAGACGAACTTAAGAAGACGGGAAACGCCACACCAAGCAAAAAACCACCATTCTTCGACGAGCTGGATAAAATACTATCTGATAAGCCGAGTACACAACTAAAAGTTGTCATCAATTCGACAAAAATTGTTACGGTATTATCGTGTGAAGACGAAAATGAAAATATTGAGATCATCCCGAAGGGCAGCAGCAACAGTAGCAACATAGCGAGTGGATATAAATCAGAGAGTTTGAGTCTAGAATAGGGTATCATTTTTCAGGAAACTGATCAGTTGGTTGAAGATTTTATCTAGACTAGGGAAACAGCTACTCTAGGATAGGGGGGATTTGGGGAGTTTGCTCTAGTATAGGGTAGCAAAATTCAGCTGAACTAGCTCTGGTATAGGTTAAGGGTTCCATGGTCCCAGCGGTACATCCTCACCCAGAAATTCCTAAAGTACCCCCCTCCCCCCCCCGGGGTGGCAAAATAACTCAAGCATAAGACTTCTGGTAAAAAAACTTTGTTTTATTAAAAATCAATCACCTATTTTCCTTTGTAAAATTTGTGAAAAGTCTGTTGCCTGAAACAAAGGCCATATTAATGACCATATTTAGCAGCATTTTGTGTCATTCAAGATGAAGATTTAAATAGTTTCGCCCATATTTTTCGTACGGGAACGAGGGGAAAAAAGTTGCGAGTAAGCAACAACAGAAACAGCTGTGAAACGACGCGTCGGCGGCGTACATATGCCTGAAATCTCCTTCTTGCATCCCTTTTCCCGTTTACAAATACGATTTCGTTCTTGAGCTTTCTTTGTCTGGGCCAAAAATAAAACCATGGCTCGACCGTTCATCTTCAAACCACCTAAAAACTCCCTCAACATGAAGATTGCGTTTTATTAGATCCCGTGATGTTTTAATACATTGTGAAAGTGAGGCTGCAAACTTCAAGAAGAGGGTGAAAGTAACGTTTTCGTTGTGAACGGTCTTTTACTAAAACACGTTTAGTTAAACCAGTGCTTATCTAAACTGTGTTTAGTTTAACATATTTAGTTGGTGTGGATGGGGTATAAGATCTTCTTTTTTCTTGATAAATGTACGTGAGAGATGCTAGAGTAAACAATGCAAAACACTCGGCAGAAAAACCAACGCTCATGGAAACGCTGCACCCAACAACTTAAAGAGTGAAAGATATTTAACAAAAAAAAATATCGAAATTCATAAATAAAAATGTTGAGGTTCAAATAATGTTTTTTTTCCTTTTGCCTTCTACTCATTACCATTCATTACCTGGTTAACTCTGACATAGAGTTTACTGTAAATGGGGCAGTTAAGTTGATCTTGGTAACTACATGTAGGCCATGACATTGCTCTTGTTGTTCTTTAAAGAGACAGGTACTAATTGGACTGAACTCTTGCTCCTGACTAGTCTTTGCATATTGGTGAATTTAGTCTCCTTCGAAGCCTTAAGGAGGCTAGGGTGAATTGGAAAAGGGGGATTTTCTATAAACAACAAATAATCACTTTATCGCATGTAACAGGCATTGCACCTTAGATATAACCATACAAATCACTTTCCTGTTTGTTTAGGCTTATTTACTGATAGTCATTGGATCTTCCTTGAAAGTCAGACCTGTTGCTTTGATACCTAGTATGTATGCAATTAAAATGCCATTTTTACCGCTCAACAAGTTAGTTATATTTTAGTAAATTGTGAGTTAGTACACTGCTTGTTTAATGCCATGTATTTTCTACATGTCACGTGGCATTTTATTAACCTTACATTACTAGGGTCTAATTAAACCATATTAAAAAATGAAAATCTCAAGAATGGCAGATCTAGTACCCCCTGACCAGTCCATTTTGTTTTGTTTACTGATGGTTTTATTGAATAACTTTTAAAACCAGTGAAATAGGGCTGTCGCTATGATTTCAAGTTGCAGGGAATACCGTAAAATTCCGAAAATAAGCCCCTCCATGTATAAGCCCCCCAAACTTGTAACGCAAAAAAACCCTCTATTAAATCGCCCCTCCAAATATAAGCCCCCCGGGAGGCTTGTACCGGAAATTTCCCTCAAATACAAAGTAAAACAAAGCAAAAACGGTAAATTTACTTCCAACTATAAGGCTAGCCCAATCGACATTGAAACGCAAATTTCCCTCCGTAGATAAGCCCCTCCGAATATAAGCCCCTCCAAAAATAAGCCCCTCAAAAGGGGCCTTTGAAAATAGAAGCCCAGGGGCTTATTTTCGGAATTTTACGGTTTGCAATAATATTATTAGGCGGGGCATTGAACAGTAGGAAGTTCTTTGGGTCTCATTTCCCGTTTGTTTTCTATGAATTAAAAGTAGCTGGTGCACATATTGAATGCAACACAGCAGACTGACCTTCAGCGCCTGGTAATAGTCCAGTTTCGAATTAAAAATTACCGCTGAATATAAACATTAAGGACACATTCATACAGGGTTAGGCTCTGAAAGTAAAATATTCAGAAATTCCGGCAAGTAAGTGTTTGAAATTTGAATATACACAATAGGCAGACTAATAAACAGGTCTTTTTCTCGTTGGAATTTGTGAATATATTACTTCAGATTGAGGTTAAGGCTGTAAAAAATGCGTCTTCACTTCTTTAATTCAGCAGTCATAGTTCCCCCGTGCCTCTGTTTCAAAACGACGGTAGGTGCTCAGCCTTTGATATGGATATCATCTTTCATTCTCATGCAAATAAAACTCATTTTCACAAGAAAGGTTGTGCACCTAGCCTCATTTTGAAAGGGAGGGTTTTTGGAACTCGAAAGTGGCCTATTGCCTGGACCTTCAAGAATTGCGCCCCAATGCCCTCATTAGTAACAACATCACTTTGCCTACTGTTAAGACTACCCTGGCATATATTAAAAGGAACCATTTTTTGGTTCACCACAGGTCACCTACCTCCAGAAGTGCCTCAGATTCTTATCAACAGGGAACCTCTCAGGCATATGACATTTGATGTTGAGTTGCTAGGTGACTGTGACGTCATCATTACTGAGTTGTGCCAAAGGCTGGGTGGAGCATGGAATAATCTACTGGAAGGAGTTGAAATTCCTGACTTGGAAAGAAGGCCTTTGTCGCGTAATGAAGAAAACACGACGGGAGAGATGCATCAAGGGGTTAATTTTGAAGAAATACAACGCAGTGAACAGGTACATGCTGAGTACGACCGAACTTACGTACGCTGTTTGAACGTTCCAGCATCT